TGAGAAAGGGGGGGAAAAAAAAAAGCCAACAACTATATTTGATATATACTGTTTACATAAATAAAGATCATAAGTAAATTCTGTACTTCCAATTCTGTTGTCAGTAGACTTTTCCTACAAAAAAACCAATTCAGTTAAATACAAAACCTTTGAAGAATCCCAAAGGAACATAAGCAAAAGTACGAAAATCTTAAGATTTGGCCATATGTTGAGTGTAATAGGAGAGCCTCACTGATATGGACGGAATCAGTATGGACTGAATACAACTCATTTCCTCTAAAGCAATGGTCGCCAACATTTTTGACACCAGAGACCAGTTTGGTGGAAGACAATTTTTCCACTGACAGGGATGGGGTTTTGTTTCAGGATGATTCAAGCACATTACATTTATTGTGCACTTTTCTATTATTACATTGAAATATGTAATGAAATAATCATACAACTTAGTAATTATCCACTTAAGTGGGAGCCCTGAGCTTGTTTTCCTGTAACTAGACAGTCCCATCTGGGGGTGATGGGAGTGAGAGAGACAGATCAGGCATTAGATTCTTACAAGGAGTGTGCAACCTAGATCCCTCGCATGCACAGTTCACAACAGGGTTCGCGCTCCTATGAGAATCCAATGTCACTGCTGATCTGACAGGAGGTGGAGCTCAGGCAGTAATGTGAATGATGGGGACTGGCTGTAAAGAGAGAGGAAGTTTCACTTGCTCACCCTCTGCTTATGGTACTATCTTTCATTAGTCATGTTTCTCTTAGCCGTCTTTTCAATTTGTGTCAATTTTTAGTCAAATTTGTAGTTCTCATTCAGTTTATATATTTCTTTTCTAGTTAGTGCTTTCTGTGTCCATTTTAAGAGAGGTTTCCTTACACTTAATGGTCAGCAAGTTATTCACTCTATAGTTTGCTCATTCACCTCAAGTTGACTTCAATATATGGCCTAAGAAAAATACAAACGGCATTCACTAAAAAAATTGTATATATGTGTGTGCAACCTTCCCTCAACAGAGTAAAAGTTCTGTTCCCAAACCAAACCAGTAATCAATGTGAAAATTTTCTTTTCATAAATAACCTCTGTAATTTCTTATTGGGGGGGGGACCTTAATCTGCTAAGCAGATTCAAACTTTTTTACAAGTTTTTTTTTGAGGGGGGAGGCCAAGTGTGGTGACTCACCCCTGTAATCCCAGCTACTTGGGAGGCTGAGGCAGGACTGCATGAGGCTGAGTTCAAGATTAGCCTGGTCAACAGTGAGACCCCTTAGGAAAAAAAAAACAAAACCCTTTTGGGGGGGCTTAAAATGTAATCTTGCATTTTCCCCATCTGTGTTTTTCCCCTACAGACACGATCTGTATGGAAAACTGTGCATCATTAATAACCATGGGAATTTTGGCTAAGAAAATGGATATTCCTGGGCTCCAACCTAAAAAAAAAACAAAAAAAAAAACCATAATTCTTTAAACTGAGTGCTGAGAATAGGCATTTAAAACAAGGTCCATGGCCAGACGTGGTGACTTACGCCTGTAATCCCAGCACTTTGGGAGGCTGAGGTGGGTGGACCATGAGGTCAGGAGTTCAAGTCCAGCCTGGCCAACATAGTGAAACCCCATCTCTACTAAAAATACAAAAATTGGCTGGGCGTGGTGGCTCACGCCTGTAATCCCAGCACTTTGGGAGGCCGAATCACAAGGTCAAGAGATGGAGACCATCCCGGCCATGAAACCGTGTCTCTACTAAAAATACAAAAATTAGTCTGGTATGGTGGCACGCGCCTGTAGTCCCAGCTACTTGGGAGGCTGAGGCGGAAGAATTGCTTGAACCCAGGAGGCAGAGGTTGCAGTGAGCCAAGATTGCACCACTGCACTCCAGCCTGGTGACAGAGCAAGACTCCATCTCAAAAAATAAAATAAAAATACAAAACTTAGCCGGGCATGGTGGCATGCACCTGTAGTCTCAGCTACTCAGGAGGCTGAGGTAGGAGATTCGCTTGAACCTGG